CCTAGCAATAACATGTAGGTTTTTATAGGGAGGGTCGACAGGCTATTTTTTATATATTATTTTAGAGAGTATATATTTGCTGTCAGTATTTGCTCACATGAAAAACACCACACAGATGTTATAAACAGATTCACACTAAGTTCTAAGCATGTTTTAGGAAAACATTTAGATAAAAAATATCTAAAGTGTAAACCATCTTAGCGGTAAACCCAAAATGCACTTCCTCATTTCTTCCAGAGTATACCTTTCCACTACTGCCATCTTCAGCTAGGCAGCTGAGCCTCACCTTGCAGAAAGCGTGCAGCTAGCTGGCTTCCCATTGAGAACAGAGCAAAACCACATCCTGGCACCAGTTACTGTTCCTTCAGAAACACACTTTCACAGACTATTGTCCATTTGCGAACTTATGCAGCACTGGCAGTATGTATATATGGGAGGTGGTTGTTTTCGAAACTTATAAAAATTATGATCAAAAATGTTAGTTGACTAGGATCCTTTCTGTGCTTTATAAGCATCGTCATTTAGTTTTTTTCTGAATAATGAATTTGAAAAATTACTATTTTGGTGCTTTTTAAAAAAATAAAAAATAAAAGAATAGAAGGTGCCCATGACATCACAGTAGGCAGAAGTGTCTGTGGTTACACCCCCTAAGTGGCAAAAAGACTGAGTGGCAGGGTTAGCGTTCAGCTTGGGTGTTGCAAAAATATATCGAAAATAGGAAAAAGCTGTTGTGCGATTGGCTGTTGTGTCCTCATCACTATTCTCCAACAAATCCCGCCTTGAAGAATGACCAAGCATCAAGGCTTTTCAATGCCTTTGGACTTTGTGTATTTCCCATGCAGCAAAATCAGGTACATATAATTCAATTCAGTTTCAGTTTCAAATGATTTATTGTTATTCCTCTACAAGTCTACATCAACAGACTGTGCAATGTAAAGGAACAAAATGTTTCCTCAGGTTCCAGTGCACAGTAGCCTATAAATAAATTAAGGGAGATATGGCAAGTAAGTAAAAGGAATGGAATTAAAAGTACTATAATAATAAAAATCAAAATAATCGAAAAATAAATAATAATAAACCTGATTAAAAATACAGTAAATGTAAAATATTAATAGAAAGTGGCAGGATAGTCAGTGTGCAATGGCATGCTAAATGAGGAGGCTGTACACAATGCCTGATAATTGGCCCAGGCCAGTGGGGCCAGTGCCCTGGCGCCTCAGACTGGAGGGGGCCGCGGAGCATCAGAGGCCACAACATTTACAGTGCAATCTGAGTACAACGGCGTGCTAAATGAGGAGGCTGTACACAGCCTGAGAGGAATCAGGGATGTACGTGCAACATTCTCTCCCCACTATAGCACAAACACCATCTTTCTCAGCTAATAGGAGATCCAATGCCTCACGGTTTTGCAGAGCTACCTGCTTAACTGCGGATAATTCACCCTTAACGGCCTTCACAGTATATCAAGTGTCTGATTAGCCACTTTCTGTACTGCAGTCTGTAGGGCAGCCACCTCTGTCTGAAGGTCTGCCACTCCAAGGGATGGAATAAACACTCCAAACCATTGCTCAGTTCGACCGTCTGCTGCGTGAATATACATGCACAGCCAAAGACATCTGCGCCTTGGGCACCACGCGTATAGGAGGGACAACGTAAAAAAAACTAGCTAGCAAATAATAAGCCCTATTATTTGAATTTTAGTGGTATTGATTCTGCATTCCACAATTTCATATTTATAGGCATTTTTAGAAGCTTCATCTGATAGCCCAGATACTGTTTTGTTAAATATGTTTAGATTTTATTCACAGACACATTATTAGGAAAAGGAAAGATGGAGACATCAGACACTTTTTTGGTGGTAAAAGAAGAGTAAGTAGGAAATATTAGTGTTAAGAGCTACAGAACATTACACTAAAAGTATAGGTGCATTTTGGAAAACTGTTAATGTGTATGAAGGAAAGTGGTGATCAGCAGAAGGCAGGAGAGGCACAGGAGCAGGCAGCAGGGAGATGGCAGGATGAGGACAGTGTGCAGGCAGCAGGAAGATGGCAGGATGAGGACAGTGAGCAGGCAGCAGGAAGATGGCAGGATGAGGACAGTGA